TCAGCCCAAAAAGGGAGTTAAAATTCATTAATTAGCTAAAACGGGGTCCACCATAGTCCATGGGCCCTTATCCCTAAAGCCAATCCCTTAGTCCTATAGGAAATAGAATTAGCAAAGCCATACCACTTAGACCCTAATTGGGACTCTTAGATATATATATATATATATATATATATATATATATATATATATATATATATATATATATATATATATATATATATATATATATATATATATATATATATATATATATATATATATATATATATATATATATAAAGGGACATAGGAGGCACCTAGAACTCACACCACAATAACTTTCACCACACAAGAATTCCCCAAGAATTCCCATAGGAGAAATCAAGAAAGAAGAAATCTTAAAGAAAGAGCATTCATAGCCAAGGAAATTAATTAAGGCTAAGAGGTAACCCATGTCTCAACAAAACCTATTTTCCTTGCTATAATCTTCTTCTTTGGCTCTTTCTCTATACTGGTGTATTGATTAATTTCTTTATGATATTTGCAATATAATCTTGATTGATTGATGTGATGATTTTATGAGGGATCTTGATGATCTTGATGTTAAAAGGATGTTCTTGATATTCATGTGATGATTCTTGATAAATCTTGATGTTTCTTGATAATGAAAATAAAATATGATTTTGATGATTTGGGTGGGATTAGAGCCCTAGGTTGGATTGGGAATTGGTATTGTGATGTTCTTGATTTATATTTGGGTGAGAATTTGCATGTTCGGGTGTTGTTCGTATCTAGAAGTCATGTTAGGATATGTTCAATATGATTCTTGCTTTCGATCTATTAAATGCCTATGTGGTGTCGTAAATTGCGTTTAAAAGTGTCTGAGCATGGTTTCGGGTTCCACAAAGGATCCCGGGACGTGTATTTGATAAACGAGTCAGTGGGGTGTAGGTAGGGGTAGGGGTACCCGCCACCTACCCGCTGCCCAAAGTGAGACCGCCAGCCGGCGGGCAGCCGTCTGCCCGGCGGGCACCCGCTGCCCGGAAGTTGCCGCAGGCGGGCAACCGGCGGGTGGCCCTCCACCCACCGGCTACCCGCTGGTTTGTCACCCACCCCGGGTCTTTGGCTTCCCCGTTTGATGTTCATCATTCCCCGTGGTGTCCCAACGGACCCTGTTTGCCGTGCATGAGTCTAGTTTGATGTTTCGGGTACCTTTCGTAGGATAAAAGAGTCTGAGAATTGCATGCTAGTTGAATCGGTAACCCGTTGGCCTAGGTGTAAGTCGTATGAACCCCTTAGGATTATTCTTAGTATGTGAATGATCACACGTAAGCTTATATATGTGTCTCCCCCTTCCCAATATGCTATTATGTGCTGTTATGTGTTATGTGATGCATGTTTTCCCAATTTGGTTGCGATCAAATTGGCTATACGGGCAGTTGGATGGGTTGAGAACCATCCCAGCTGTTAACCAGGCCGGTTGCGATCGGTCAGGTATATATAAATATTATATAGGGCTGCGGTCCACTATTTGGTTACTCATGAGCTGCGGTTCATTCTCCTGGCTGCGGTCAGTAATTCACTTCTTGGGCTGTGGTCCACATGGGCGTCGTGTGCTATGACCCACCGACCTGGACACGCCAGGCGGTATGTAGGGCCAATAAGCCCGAGGAAGGCTGTAGTCCACCGACCTGAGTAATCAGGCAGTGTGTAGGGCTACGGCTGGCTGCGATCCACCGAGTGATGGGTCAGCGGTGTGTAGGGTCGTAGTCTCCGAGGATCATCGCCCAGCGACTGGGTCCCCCAACGGTGTGTAGGGCTTGATCTGCTACGATCCACCGACTGTGCCCGTCAACGGTGTATAGGATCGTAAGTCCTCCCTTGTAAAGTGGATCACAGTCCACCGACTGAGCGCGTCAACGGTGTGTAGGACTGTGATTCGCCGCTGAGTTCGTTAGCGGTCTATAGGGTTGGTTGCGATCAACTCCCTTCATGCTACGGTATGAGGTAGGGTGCTGCGGGGCCGTGTTAGTACTATATGCACTAACCCTCATGTTCGGGGCATGCGATTGGTCCCGTGGCGCCACCAAAGTGTGATTGTGCGATACGAATGATGATTGGATGAGGATATGATTGATTTGAAAGTAATCTGTGACCTTAGATGCATATTCTTTACGATGGTTATATCTACTTAACTGTTATCATTGATTATTATGCTTGCCCCTAATTGCTGAGTCTATTCCTGGTTTTAAAGCTAGAGCCTCTTAAGTATATATCTTCCTGCTTCAAAATGGTTTTCATATATCTATATATATCTATCTATTTTGTATTTCAACGCGTTGGAGTGGGTTACCAGCATCATTCGCTGAACAGATATATTTGGCTTTCAGGCACCGATGAGTAGACCCGGAGCCCGCTAGAGATCCGAAGCGTAGATTAGTTTGTTTCCCTTCGGCCTGCGTGCCATGATTATGTATTGACATTTGTATTGAGGATTTTAGTTGGTTAGCCTGTGCATCTGAGTTCTCCAGCTCAGATGTGGCATAGCACCCCGCACTTTTATGTTTGCTGTTGGGATTTAATGAGAATTCACATTTATTATATAAGTTTTAAAAGTTTAAAAATTTCGGGGTGTTACAACCACCATCTCCTCCCCAAACACCACCCCCGATTCCCTCCATAGTGCACACCGTTTTGTGTCACTAAAACTCACCCATCGGAACTATCTGTACAGGAGAACCCAAATTATACCCTTTTTACGTGGACAAAGGCTGCTCGGCTTCATTGATGGCACTCGGTCGTGTCCAGCGCCGGTCCTAGAGCTTCCCGCCACTAATCAGTCCCACGACGACCCCTCTGCCACACCGAATCCGGCATACGAAGCATGGGTTGAGCAGGATGCTTTTATTCTATCCTTACTCATCTCGGAGGAGGTTATGTACCTCACGCTTGGTCAGACGACATCCCGTGTTGTGTGGCTCGCGGCAGAGACGGTGCTTGGGTCATCCTCTCAAGTTCGCTGCCTCAATTTAATGGGGCAGTTCCAATCGCTTCGACAGGGGGATAGCTCTACACCGGAGTATCTGGGGCGTGCGCAACATTTGGTTGAGGACCTAGCGCTCGCCAGCCGGACCATGACGTTGTCGGAGCAAAACCTATACGTTTTCCGGGGGCTGCAGCCGGAGTTCTGATCCACGGCAGCCTCCCTGGCGGTCACCGGTATGCCGTGATGATCCCGCAGCTGGCGGACTATTTGCAGGCGCAACACTTCATCCATGCGAATGACTTCCCCGTTTATCAACCGGCGACGGCGAGTGGCGTTCCCTCGGCATTGTATGACGGCCGAGGTGGACGGCGGCAGGGCAGTGGTGGCCGTCAGCCTCGCAGCGGAGGGGGTCGTGGCGGCAACCAGCGAGGAGGCCGCGGCGGACGTGGTCAGAATGGTTGTCTGCGTTGTCCGATCTGCAGGTCTCAAGGGCACTCCGCTGCCTACTACTATCGGAGGTACTCCGAGCCGCCACTATCTCAGGCACATGTGGCAGTGGCAGGTGACGGAGGTGCATTGCCAGCAGTTACATCATGGCTGCCGGACACGGGAGCTTCCACGCACGCCACTCTGGATTCTGGCGTGGTCTCGCAGTCCGAGGAGTATCACGGGAACGATGTCCTGAGAGTGGGTAATGGCACTGGTTTGGCGATCTCGCGTGTGGGTCATGCAGTAATTCCTTCGGTTACCAAACCATTAAAATTATCTAGTGTTTTACATGTCCCTGAGTTATCGGTCTCTTTATTATCTGTAAATCATTTTACAAAAGATAATAATTGCAATTTTGAATTTCATCCTACCTTTTTTGTTGTGAAGGACTCCACCACACAGGCGGTTCTTCTTAAAGGTCCAAGCTCAGGGGGATTGTACTCATTGTCTGTTCCAAAGTCACATTATGCGTTCGTCTCTGCTCGTGCCTCTTCCACGGTTTGGCATCAGCGTCTCAGTCACCCACATGATCAAGCCCTCAAACGCGTCTTACGGGGTTGCCCGGTTGAATCTAATAAAAATGTAATCCCCGGTTCATGTTCGTCATGTCAACTGGGGAAGTCCTCTCGATTCCCGTTAGATAGGGTAGCTAAATCTAGCAATAATGTTTTAGATATCATTTACACTGATATTTGGGGCCTTCGCCTGTTCTTTCCGCGGATGGTTCACGGTACTTTGTACTCTTCGTAGATGATAACACCCGCTACTGTTGGTATTATCCTCTACGACTCAAAACCGATATATATAAAATATTTGATGTTTTTCGGGCGACGGTAAAACGTACGTTTTCACGTTCTATCAAGTCCATTCAGTCTGATTTGGGGGTGGGGAGGGGGGGGATACCAAAAACTACACAAACGTTTTACCTCCTTAGGGATCGTGCACAGGCAATCATGTGCCTATACGCACGAGCAAAACGGGCGTGTTGAGCGCCGGCATCGGCATATTATCGAGACCGGTCTAGAAATGATGGCCCAAGCGTCTGTCCCGCAAAGTCATTGGGACCACGCATTTGAAATAGCCACGTATCTTATAAACCGTTTACCGTCTTCCTCACTCCAGTTTGATACACCATACTTCCGGTTATATCAGTCACCACCCACTTACACATATTTGCGTGTATTCGAGTGTCTTTGTTTCCCGTATCTTCATCCCTATAACCGTTATAAGATTGAATACCGGTCAAGTGCTTGTGTCTTCTTAGGTTACCCACCGTCTTTTAGGGGTTATCGCTGCATGGATCTAAACACCGGGAAAACTTACATCTGTCGCCATGTCCGCTTTGTGAAACTAAATTCCCTTTTGCAGCTATGAGTTCCATGCAGTCTGGAACACACCCATCCGTACCCAGCTTGCCGTGGGGGTCCAGTCCCATTCTGCATAGCAGTGACTCAGTTCGTTTACCGGCCGCCAACACTGGTCCGAACGTGGACCTAGCTCCAGCTCAAGCACCCGTGGTCAAGAGACGGGGACGTGGGGCTCAATGACGGCATCCACCGATGACCCTACTTGCTATTCTCAGGCGGTGGGCCATCCACAATGGCGAGACGCAATGGACCAAGACTTCAACGCGTTGCTACACAACAATATGTGGACGCTAGTACCTGCTACTCCGGACATGAACATTGTGGGGTGCAAATGGGTTTTTCGCACCAAGCAAAATGCCGACGGCACAGTGGAACGCTACAAAGCCCGGCTAGTCGCCAAAGGCTACAATCAAGTAGCAGGCGAGGATTTCTTTGATACATTTAGCCTGATAGTTAAATCGACCACGATTCGGCTATTACTATAATTAGCCATTTCTCGTGGGTAGACACTCCGTTAGTTGGATGTCCACAACGCCTTTTTAAACGGGCACCTAGCTGAAACCGTCTATATGCGGCAACCGCCGGGATATGAGGATCCTGATCGCCCTGATCACATCTATCACTTGCAGCGTTCCCTATATGGGTTGAAGCAAGCACCCCTGGCCTGGTTTAAACGCCTAGATGATTTCTTGGTTCTCACAGGTTTTGTTACTTCAAAGACAGATGTTTCTCTGTTCCACTACTCGGCTGCCGATTCCAAGGTGTTTTGGCTCGTTTATGTAGACGACATTATTATGCTCGGGAATGATACGGTCTTGGTTGATTCCTTGCTACGAAAACTGGCTACGGCATTCAAATCTGGGACCTTGGGAAACCCACATTCTTTCTTGGCATAGAAACGATTACCATTCCGGGTGGTATGATTCTTTCACAGCAGCATTATATGCGGGATATTCTTCAGCGAGCTGGCATGACCGACTGTAAGTCTCTAGCAACACCGGCGTCTGTGACTCAACCTGTATGTCAGTCCACCGACTCCTTCGCCAATCCGACGCAATACCGTCGTCTAGCTGGGGCTCTTCAATACCTCACCATTACTCGCCTGGATCTGTCCTATTCTGTCAATCGCCTCTGCCAGTTTATGCATTCATCTACTGACGAGCACTTGGGGCTACTAAAACGTGTTCTTCGCTATATTAAGGGTACTCTAGAATACGGGCTCCGCATCTCTACTTCAGTGTCCTCCGATATACATGCATACTCGGACTCTGACTGGGCTGGCTGTCCAGTTGATCGCAAGTCCACTAGTGGCTACGCTATGTTCTTCAGGAAAAATCTTGTCTCCTGGGTCTCTCGGAAACAACGCACAGTTGCGCGCTCTTCGATAGAGGCTGAATACAAAGGCCTCGCTGATGTTTGTGCTGAGGTCACCTGGGTTGTGTCTTTGCTACGGGACCTTGGCTTAGGCCCTATCGCTCCACCCACACTATGGTGTGACAATCTGGGTGCTACCTACCTATGTGCCAATCCGGTTTTCCATGCTCGCATCAAACACGTTGAGGTTGACTACCACTTTGTCGGGGACAAAGTATCGGCTGGTGAGTTCCAGGTTCATTTTGTGTCTACCAAGGATCAGCTTGCAGATATCTTCACCAAACCGCTACTAGCAGCGCGGTTTGGAGCTCTTCGTGACAAGCTCAATGTGGTTCCACACCTACCTTGTGCTTGAGGGGGAGTATTAGACTATATTATTATTATGTATTTAATTAGGTACATTCTATTAGTGATCTAGCCTCTAGCCCATTAGATAGTTCTCTCTCTCTCTCTCTCTCTCTCTCTCAGTGTATTAATGTAATCACAATTCTATTACTGAATGAATTATCGCTTCCATTCTCATCCAAACGCACCACTATTATTGAAAACCACAATACCATAATAGCCATGCTCTCCATTTTATTGAACCGATGCATCAGCTTCCACCAACAACGTCGAATTAGGAATAGAAGAGCGGCTACCCGACGCTGTATGAGAGCGGTTGGAAGAATTCATCGTGATATTAATAGACTACCATTCCAGAATGCAGCTTTCAAATAACTGCTTGAACACTTCCATGGACTAATGCTTCCTATTCCAGACCCAATCATTTCATCTTTTCCACACACACCAACAGATTGCTAAGCATCTAACCAATTTATCTTTGTCTGACTGCTCAAAAAGAGAGGAAACCCAAGACTTAAAACTAACCTGAGCATGCATGACAAGATCCAACGTACCATTCCAAACTTCCACCACTTCAGGACATTAAAAAATGATATGCTTCATAGTTACAGGACTGCCTAGGCAAAGAAGGCAGTGAGTATCCACTCCAATACCCCTACCAGCTAAATAAACAACTATAGGCAAGACATTTCGAGCACAACGCCATGCAAAGTTTAAGACTTTTGGAGGAAGTTTTGATTTCCATAAACCCTTCCAGGCTGTGAAAGATGTGTTCGTCGGCAATCCACTGTCAAACAATAATTTGTAACCATGTCGAACCGAATACATACCTCTTAGACACCTCGCCAACTCCATGTATTAGCAATTCCTATCGTGATAGGTATTGAGATGATAAGTTCAATGTCACGAGGGAGAAACAACTCACAAAGCAGATCAGTATTCCAACCCCCGGTGTTCGAATCAATTAGAGTCCCAACTAGCGCATCACCATACACATCTGAGACCAGCGACTGAATATATTGATGGTCGTTGTTCTACTATCGCTAATACGATGAAAACATTCATGCCTCAACACATCTCTGCTTGCAAGCATTGAACGCAAGCAATAGCTAGGGTTACACCCCATATTAGCCTCTAATAAATTTGTGTCATTAAAATAGCGGGTTTGATAGAGCCGGGCAACCACAGATAAAGGATTACTTAGTATTCTCCAACCCTGCTTTGCCAATAAGGAGACATTAAATTTATTGAGGTTTTTAAAACCTAGTCTACCCTCTGATTTTGGAAAAGCCATGCGGTTCCAAGCTAACCAACGCACACCACCTTCGCCAATCTATTTAGATTGCCACCAATATTTATTCATCATTTGCTCAATATGCTCACAGAAAGTCACCAGGAGATAATACAGACTCATGGTATACGTGGGGAGGGATTGAACCACACTTTTCAGTAAGATTTCCTTTCCAGCTCTGGATAAAACTTTTTTACACCAACCTCCCAACCGTTTCTTTAGCTTAGCTTCTATGAAAGAAAAAACCTCTTTACGGTTCCTGCCAATACCCAGGGGAAGGCCCAAATATTTACCAATACTATCAGCTTCACTAACCCCAAGAACAGAAGTTATATCTAATCTGTTAAGGTTGTTTACATTTTTGCTAAACACAAAGCACGACTTCGTGTAATTAACAGTTTGACCAGAGATAGATTCATATGCATGTAACACCCCCTAACCTCTTCCGCCTCATGAATAGTAAGATCAATTCAACTTGAAATCAAATCCAATTGCAATTTCCATATTTACTCATGCATTGTTCATTACCAAGGCTAAGTTTTTCTTGGTAATTTCTTTTGCATTTTCTTTCTTCCAATTATGATTGCTATGTCTTTAATTTCAATCATGCTTAGCTAGATTCAATTAGGGATTGGATTAATTCATCTTTTGTGAATGATACTATGTGATTGAATTGCGCTATGAACTAGTGTAATGACTTTGATGATGGCCATAGTTGTGAACTTAGTGGTTTCTATTGACTGTTGTATGGTTGTGGCCAAATTGTGCAAGAGGTGCTTGGAAAAGGTCTTGTCACTATGAGAATATGGCAACACCATAGCCACACATCTCACTAATCAAACTCACCTTTTGAGAAAAGGGAGTTGGAAGGAGATATGAACACCATGTGTTTGATGAATTGCTTCAATTGGCTTAAGTCACCATGAGAGTGGGGTTGAATTCCAATTGAGAGTCCAATCTCCACGAGAGTGGCATTGGCATTTAGCAGTGTCTCATGAGCTCTAACCAAGGATACGCTATATCATCTACACTCAAGTGACCTATCCCAGGCCCTTAGCTTTACTATTGGTTGTTAATTACCTTAGTCAATTGCTTTACCATAGCACCTAGTTGTTCCTTAATAGCTTGCAACTCGCTCTTGAACTAGCTTCCAAACACTCTACACTCTTGTGCTTAATCATCTACTATTCAACACCCTTCTAGTCCACTCCTTGAGACGATATCCGGTGTGAGGATACCCTCTCACACACACACTCTATTTCCATCACCATTGTACATAACTTTCATCAACTTAGCAGGTAGCCACAAACCAAGTAGTTTCAAGATGTTTTTTTTTCTATTTGTTTGGACTTTGGAGATAGTAGGTTAGTGGGATTCTTATGCTTTGGTTTTGAATATTGCACTTAAACTTTTTGTGGGGCCTCATTTATTTACAAGAACGATACCAAAAAAAAAAAAAAAAAAAAAAAAAAAAAAAAAAAAAAAAAACTCGGCCCTCCCTTCGGCTTTCATAAGAAATTTCATGTAACAATTTGGTTTGTTCATCGAGGATATAAAGCACTCGTGCTTATAACATGTTGTGAAACTGGATGTATCATCGGCTGAACAGATATAATAATCGGTAAAATAGGGAAAGAAGACAATAGATACAGAAAAAATCATCAATCTTTTATTAATCATCCTTTTTTATAATATATACAAGATATACAGAGTTCTAGTATAATTACAATACTACAAAGAATGAAGATGTATTATAATAGTATTATACCTTTAGTAATGTCCACATATATTTATTCGCAACAAACATAACATGAAAGAATTGAGTTTATTCTTGGGATATAACTCAAGATTAAATGTTATTTTTCATAATAATAATAATAATAATAATAATAATAATAATAATAATAATAATAATAATAATAATAATAATAATAATAATAATAATAATAATAATAATAATAATAATAATACTAAGAATAATAATAATAATAACAATAACAATAACAATAACAATAACAATAACAATAACAATAACAATAACAATAACAATAATAATAATAATAATAATAATAATAATAATAATAATAATAATAATAATAATAATAATAATATGATATTTTTCCTTCCTAGATTATAAGAAGGTAGCAATTTTTGTCATTCAATTACACAATTGTCATTTTTCATCGCTTAATTATTTACAAAATGATGTTTTTTACCCATCAATTATCTGTAAATGGACTTTTAAATTTAATCTTAATAAAATTTATGGAAAAAAACAAAAACTACTGGTAAAATGTGTGGTTTTCTATAATTTAGAGACAAAAGTACGGCAAATTATATTGTGGACCATGGTTCAAAACGGTACCGTTTCTTTTAATGAAAAGAAACGGCACTCGTTCTGCGCCGTTACGCGTAAAGTAGCTCGGTTTGTATAACATATTCAGTTTCATTTTATATACATTGTTGTTTTATTTC